ATTTATTTATCCAAAGATGAAAAAGCATCAGTAATAATATTTTACAGGAATGAAGCTTCTGCAGCTGTTGCTAGGTCCAAGAAGATTTAAGTACTATTTCTGTACACGTTCTTAGCCTCACATCCCACTCTCTCTCTCCAGGTAATTGGAAATTGGCCCAATGAAGTTAAAAGGGATAAAGAGCAACTAAGAGAATGAGATACAAGCCAAGAGTCTGAAAGGAGAGAGCTGTTGTAGCAGAGCCAGCTGGGTATGGAACTGGCATTATATTCTTAATACTTATGTGTACCACTGACATAAAATTTGTTCTGTGTGGGACAAACTCTACCTTCTCTTCTTTTACAGGGTAGTTTTGATATTTCATTTTCATTTGGTTTTCCAGAAGAGTTCTGACTCTCATCAACCCAACAGTATTGTGTACACAGGGTAACCTGGCTTTTAGAGCAGACTTGAAAAATCACCAGGTTATTCAAGGCAAATCTTTGCCCCAGTAGACTCATTTTCCTCTCTTTTTGCAAGGAGATACTCAAAGTGCCTATAAATTCCACTTGCATTCTGGAAGATATCATGCTCTAGAAGGGCAGTAATAACCAGGACTGACTGTTTGGGATGAGAGCAACTTGGTCTGGGAGTACTTTGGGTTTTTTTCATGATGCTGTTTATCTATCCCGCAGTGGAAAGAAGCAAGCTGTTGCAGTAGATTTAAGATTACAATCCTACCTACCTTATGGATAAATCATTAGGGTCTTGTTCCCAATCTAGTTTTGCTGTTGCAAATCATCTCACTGCATGCGCGGCAAGTCCAGCTCCTAAAGATGATGTCAGATGTGCTCCACATGGAGTAGAGATGCACTCAAGAAGCATAATAACTTAGGCTGTGACTGGCAAGCAAATACATGGTACTGAGCAAAATAAGCAGCTGTAGCCAAATCTACACCATGCTAAGGAAAGTGATGCAGAGATAGCAAAGATAAGGCTTATGGGCTGATGTACAGCTGGAACTGAATGCACAGTGTTGGCATTATTTTAGTGGGTGCTGAGAAACAACATTTGTTACCTCAGACACAGGTTGGTATTCAGTGCTTTGGGATGTTGATTTGTATCTCCTCATGATACTGTACAGTATCTCAAGCCAACTGCATCTTCAGAGTCCTCATATTTTAGTCTATCTTGTAGCATAAACATGCATGTTTTTAAATGGGAGAACCAAAATGCCTGCAATTGTGTCTTTATGCAGACATTGCTTTCCTGTTATTTTTACTGTGAGGGTTGTGTGGGTTATTTTTACTGTGAGGCCCTGGCACAGGTTGCCCAGAGAGGCTGTGGCTGCCCCATCCCTGGAATTGCTGAAGGTCAGGTTGGACGGGGCTTGGAGCAGCCTGGGATAGCGGAAGATGTCCCTACTCATGGCAGGATGGTGGAACGAGATGGTTTTGAAGGTCTCCTCCGATTCAAACTATTCTATGATTCTATGATGGAAGTATAAAATAGGTTTTAGTTATGTGGTGGTTAAGCCATTGAAATGTCTGAGTCTAAAATGAAAAGTTTTTTCCTGAGCATTTGTATAACATGCACATACTTACATCTATCCCTCTTCATTCATGATGCTTTGTCCCTGTTTTTCTTGTAAACAAACAATTGCGATTATACAGTTTTTTCTTTCTCTGTATGAATATTTATAGAGATAATGATCTGGGAATGACACTGTAATACTTATCTGATAATGTGATGTGCTGTTGATTAGTTCCAACTGCTTGAGAATATCTGGGCTGACAAATTCCTGCTCTAGATAGGTAATTTTTTTATTGAATTCCTTAAACTTATAGATACATGTTTCTACATGAAAACACAGAAATCAGGTTAATTATCTGATAAATCAATAAATAGTATTGCAATGTCTCTATACTTACTAAAAATCCCTAAATTCTAGGAAACACAACTAGGGTGAAAGTGTCCATACTCTGTTTTTTTCCAAATATTCCTTCATCTTATACTTTCCCCTTTCAGTAACACTCCAAAAATACAGGCATTTCATTTTCTTTTGCTTAAGTTAGCACATTTCTCATTGAAGGCCCTCAAGGGAAGTAGAAACTATGAAATACGAAATGCGATTTATGCTTGCCTTGTAAAATGCCAAGGAAACTGCTTTAAGACTGTAATAACCCTTGCTGCTCATTCCATGAACATGCCTATAGAAAATGTTAATTTAATCAACAAATTATAGCTTCACACAAAGCTAGAAGTGTGGAAATACTGGCAGAGGAGGAGGAAAGGTCTCTCATAATTTTTATGTTTAATCATGAATTTGAGACTCTTTATTATTCTTGCATAAGTGAAGAACTTCTCCTAAATGGATTATGTTGCACTTCCCATTCATTTTCTTTCCTGATTTACATCTACATACATGTCCATTCAAATTTTATGAGAACTCACTTATGCTGACATGAACGCATCTTAGCAGAACTCTTGATACTTTATTTAATTTTTTCTTGTCAAAGATGTTGTTTGAGAGGGAGCTCAGAGAGCTGGTACTTTTAGAGGAAACCCTGCAGATTTCACACTGGTTTTTCCCAGCGTTTCTAGCCCATGGATACTGATCACGGGATGCCTGACACAGTCTAAGTGTTCCCTGCCAAATGTTGAAGTAATGAAGTCAGAAATAGGAATATTGGAATGAAAAGGACTAGAAATAGATTTCTACAAGTCAGCTTAAGCACTCATTTGCAGTAGGGCAATATTACATTTTTCAAAGGCATGTATTAACTGATTAGATCACCTGCAAATGGAGTGTTAATTAATAATATCCATAATACAGTGCAATACAATTACATTAGCAGGAAAAGCTGACAGATCCATTGTAGCTCCTTCATTCAGGTATTAATCCTAAAGATAATGGACCAAACTCTGCTCTCTGTGGGTTTTTTTCAGCTTATATATGGAGTGATTCCAGGAGTACAGGCTGGCTGTAACTTCGTGAGGCTGAATAGTGAATTTGTCCCATTATCCTGTAATGAAATGCTTTCTGAAAATACCTGTCAGTGAGGCACACTTGGCACACCATCTGCTTGGCTGATAATAACTCAAAAGACAAAATACTTGATCTCATGGAGGAATGCCACAGAGGGGAAGACAGCAGCTTACAGTCAGTTTTATATCCCTCTAATGCTAAACTCATGTAATCCTTATTCACATTACCTAATTCATGTCACCTTCAGAAAATCTGTAGGTAAAAATTTTGCACCAGCAGTGGATGAAATTCCAAGGACCAAAAGCAAAAAGCTTAAATCTTATGGATTGCATTGACATTTTGATTGCAAACAAACCCTTTTCCCTATTCAGGGATGTTCTGTACAGTCAACAGAAAATGATTTGGTTCTTGTGGAAAAGGAATTTCAGTGTATACACCAAAGCTGAAGTCAGGTCACAGTCCATCTGACTATTGTGATACACAAGGTGTCACCTTGATTGACAAAATGGGAATAAAATTAAGCAAAATTTTAATGGAAAACATGATTTACTGCAGCTGGAGACTTTTATTAGGACTGTAAAGGACTTGTGCTCTTTATAACTGATAAACCAATAGGTCTGATGTAAGAAGAGGATCCTTTTGCAAAGCCCATGTCTGCCTTATCAGAGGACACAGAAACAGATGTTCTAACTTTTAGCATTTAAGCTAAAAGGCTGGGAGGAAAGAGGAGATGTAATAAATCAATAAATGCAGTTATTTTCCCCAAATAAATGGGTTTAAACTCAGAATATATACATACCCTGCCTCACTCTGGAAAAGGAACCTGTAACAGTTGTTGTGAGGGTGGGAAAGGGCAGAGGAACAACAGGGTCAAGTGTGAGGAGGCAAGTGATAAAGGGACCAAGGGAGCAAGGTCTAGTGGTCATAAATGTACAGCTTTGCAGAGTCAACAGAAAATATTGATTTAGTGTACTTCTGATGGTAGAAACACTCCAGCACAAGACAGCACTGCACAGCAGAACTTCTTGGTCACCAAATATTTATTCCAATACTATTCAAGGTGTACAGCCAACAACACTACTGATTAGTAGTTTTCTGAATTTTAGATTTTCATTACAACCAAAGCTAGGCTGTTCTATGAAGAATCAAAGCTCCCAACTTTGGCTGTTACCCTCCTGCTCTCTGATGGGATGCACTCACAGTGAATTTTCTATGTAGTTCTTCTGCAATAAAAGCATGAAATAGTTCATGATGTGTAAAATTATTTAATAGGTTAAAAAAAAATATGGGTTCGTATCCTAAAAAAAACCACCAAAAGAATGCATTCCGCACTTTACCTAATTAATATCTTTTGTAATCTGTTTTTCTTATAGAATCATAGATTCATTTAGGTTTAAAAAGATCTTTGAGATTGTAGAGTTCAGCCATTCACCCAGCACTGCCAAACCCACCACTGAACCATGTCCTTAACCACCACATCTACATGTGCTTTGAACTCTTCCAGGGACAGTGATTCCACCACTTCCTTGAGCAGTCTGTTCCAATGTTTGACCAGTCTTTCCATGAAGAAATTTTTCCTAATATCCAATGTCATAATAAAGCAGTTTCACTACTCATATTGTATGCTTTGAGCACACCCCCAATATTTCTGTGTAGCACAGTCATTTAGGACATATGTATTTCACATGTTCATATCCATAAGGTCTGAGAGTACAGAAAGGGGACAGTTTGCTTTGTTTTTCCTGGGGCTTTGTAGCTCCAAGGTCTGCTCAGAGAACTACTAGAATTATTCTTGTAATTTCCATATTGATACAGTTAGTTTGGGAATTCTTTTTCTTCGATGTATGTTAACCCTGCTTCCTCTCCCATTTGAGCTCTGTGGAGTAAGTAGGAAATGAAAGGTGTAGGAGAAATGTGATATAGTTTATTGTATGCTGTGTTTTTTAATTTAAGCAGGTGGGCTGGAAGTGCCCTAAAGCAGCTCAAGATAAACCTAACAAAGTGAGTACCACACTGTGCTTATGTCTGTATTGAACAGGTACTTTTTAATTTTTACTGATGTCTGAAGAGCTTTATACATGTTCCTCCCTCATTTTTCTGCCAAAAAGAAGGAATTTTTTCCACCTGAAAAAAAATAATAAATCAAGTAAGATTTAATAAATCAAGTAAGATATGTACTTTTCCTATAGCACAGTTAAACAAACTGAATAACAACATGTATGCTTGACAATAATAACTGGCACGTAACAAGGTGTTTGCCCAAGGTGGTTTCATGAATCCTGAGTGATCAGCCAGCAGTTGTCTCCGGTCTGGCTTCAGCATCCTGGAATCTACAGCTGGTTTGAGTTTGTTTAAATTACAGAAGGAAACACATATTTTCCCTCACATGAAAGGGACTGCAATCCTTTGTTATTTGGCAAATGCATCCCACAGATCTGAATGTGAGTCTGGTTTTGAAGTGCCTTTTTTTCCACACATCTTTAGAAAGCTTCCCCAGTGCTTTTACTTGAGTGCATATCTATTTCTTTCTTTATTTTCTTAAGCAAATAACCCAAACCTTTCTGTTATATGTCCCTCAGCATCACTAAGGAATTCCATGACAGTTCCCGTTACTGCCAGAGTTGTTTTTCAGCTACAGTTCTCAGCTTTCTTTATTCCATTTCAGCTTTTCTTCTTCCAGTTGCCTTTTTTTTTTTTGCCATACCCTGCTGATCACATCCCAGGTTCCCATGATGATTCTGAGCAGTGCAGCTTTACAAGTAGAGATTCCTGAGCTGAAACTCAAGAACACAGTCTGCTTTGCAGCAAGGCTTTCTCCTTGCTGGCCCCTTCAGAGGACAGACACCAGGATTAGTACTGAAACTCAGGCTTTATATTCAAACAGCTGTGGAGCTGTAAGAAGTGATGCTACGGTTTCATAGACCATAGAAAGAAATAAAAGTATCTTTAGCAAATTACTTCATCTATTCATCAGCCACTGCATTATTCCCTGGAGTAGTTATTTCATTCCTTGAGGCAGCTGAGATTTAAATACCTGAGGTCACAGGTCTTCTACCAAAACAACTGGGAATATCTGCCAGAGACTCACTATACCACTGTTGTTATAAATATTGGTCTTAATTGCATTACACAAGCCTTAAGAGCCCTAATCATAGATCAGTGTGTAGGAAGGAGCTGTACAAGGGAGAAAAAGCAGCATCTTTAGATCAATGAGGAGTAGCTGGTGAGTTATCCCAGCATAAAGACACAGATAGCAAATTTAAAATTACATTATGGAAGGTATGTATAAAAAGCTTTCCATGCAGCTGGTAAAAAGTTGGAGGTATAGATAGATTGAGACAAGGCAGGCTTTAAGGAATAATTTAAAACTGATAACAGAATTCCTTCACAAATGCTTAGAGTGACTTTTTCAACAGGGAACGTAAAGAATAAAAAGGTTGATAGGAAAAGCAGGTGATCGATAGAGTGCAAAGTTGAGGGCTGATATCTTGTTGGAATCACAAGTCTAACAGGAATAGGGTAAATTACTTTTTCAAGCCTATCACCTTAGAAAAGAGCTTGAAAGCTTGCTTTGGGTATGCAAAGGATCAAGCCACACATTGTGGAAGGAAGGTTGCAATCAAAGCAAGGTGCCAAAACCAACAGCTTGAATAGTGATGTCTGCATGGATTGAGATCCCAGGCAGGTGGGGTAGTTGATTAGTATCAAGGTGAAGAGGCAGCCACACTTCATGTGTATTTATTTTTACCTCTCAGCGATGATACAGTAGTCTGATACCAGCAAAATTTGTCAAACTCTGATATAGGAATGACAACTTGATGAACAGGAAATGTGTGAATTTTCTAAATCCCAAGTTATTGCCTTATTTAAAAATATGTGTTTCTTCACAGGGCACTGTCATGTTTGTGAGTCTAGCTAGTTTGGCAGGATTTAAGTTCAAAGCTCTTGATTTTCCCAGATTCTGTGTATGACGAGTTTTTTGTGATGGCTGTGTGGTGTGAGGTCAAAAAGAAGACCATCTAAGCCACAAAGCACAGGGTACTACGTGAACCAGGATAATGAGCTTCTAGAGAAATTCTATTATGTTGGATTCCATTTAGCAGGGGTGAAAATAGGCTCAACTGACTGTGTCATCAAAATATGGACTTTTCTGATGCATGTAAAACCCATGATGCATTAGGAAGAAATGGAATATTGAGTAAACATTGAAGCAACAGCTTGGTAATCTTTAGGGTTTGTGAACTGCTAAAGCAGCTCTTTTAGCTCTGCTAACTCAATAGGCAAACTATGGAAAGTAGTGAAACTACTGGATTATAAGGTAACAAAATTAATAGAGAGACCATTGAGGTCAACTTCTGCATTGTAACCACAGAACTCAAGAAGATTTACAGAACTCAGTCAAACTTTTAAGTGAGAGCTCCAGGCCTCTTGCTCACCTTTGCTCAATAACCATCCAAAAAGCTGATTGAATGGTTTAATTCCTACAGTTAGGAAAAAAGAATCACGTATATTTAAAGGCTGCATAGAGACACAGAGGAGCAAAAAGAGGATTTAGATTGGGTAGATCACCTTCATTTTGGCACAAGATATAAATGCATATGTAACTTCAGAAGAGTTAGTGTGTGTTACTGATATGTTTTTTTCCAAACAGGCATTTTTAAAATCAAAAACAAGCTAAAAAAAATCCAAAAACTTGATAAGCAGGACTATTTACAGGTAGCAGGTGATTACTATCTTTTATTTATGTGTTCAAGATGGGGTAATTTGAAAGAAGTCATATTCTATTACTCAGAGAGATATTGATAAACGAATGACTAAAATGAGAGCAGAACTTAGTAATATGTAGAAGGAGTTGCTTTTCCACAGGCACAACAGGAAATATATTCCATGATTTAGAAATTTTGTAAAATTTTTCTCTATTAACTTGCTTATATGATTAAAAACCATAAACTTCTTGGTTGTAATAAATAGTTTGTTCCATCCATCACAGCTCTTAGGGGAAAAATTGGTCTTACAGATTTTCAGAATTTTTTATCAGTTTTTAGGTTTCAAGGTTTGAGTTACAAATTTTTTTCCCCTTGTGAATGTGCCCCATTACTACACATCATAATTTTGGGTTAAAAGTGGTCCTAATAATTTTCTTTTGATGAAAGGTAATTCTTTCAGTACTGTTTCCAAACTAGATCTGAACAATGTGCTGTGCACATGAAAGGAACTTCAGCTTCTTGTACAGAAAGAATTTTTCAAGGACTGTAGGCCGTGCAATCGCTTTGTGATCTAAGCTATATTGCAGTTTGGGTTTTTTTAAAGAATTGCTTTAACAAGCAATTAATGCTTACGTAATTTTACCACCACTGAAACCTACTATGGTATCTACACTGATTACTTAATTCACTTCCTGTTTACCTCCAGAGTTCTAGCTTCTAAATTATTGGACCATAAGTCATTTAGTTCCCAGGGTCTAACATGTAAGAAGCCAGAGAGTTTCCTTTGCTAGAAAACTCAGGAATAGGACAAATGAGGTGTATTCAAAAGAAAAGAAGGAGAAAAAAAAAAAAGAAAATTATTTTAAAAGTTAAAAGAATAAAAAGACCCATTGGCATAACTGGTCTGGCTTTCTATAAGCTAAGTTTTAGGCTGATGTCACGATTTGGGCTGAGGAAAAGAAGAGTGGTTTGGTTGAGGAATGAGAGATCCTCATATACATTTAAATCCTACCTCTGGCACTGTTTGGTCAGTGGGATTCTGCAGGGGCCCAGGGTGGCTGGGCAATAGTGAACATGAAAGTGCATCAGAAAAAAAAAAAAAAAAGTGGGGTTAAGAAACACGGGTCCCAAAAGTCTCAGTGAGGAGTTCTGACCATGCAAACATCATCTGCTCTGTTAGAGTTCATATTTTATGAAAGGAACGTGGCCCTACTGTACTCTGTGAAGGGCTCTCACATCATTTCAGGAGGGTCAGGATTTGAGGTGGATGCTTAAACCCAGTGTGACAACCTGTAAGTGCCTCTCACTGCGAGCACCGCTGTGTTCTCTGCAATGGTTGTGTGGGGACAGAGGATGGGGCTGTCAGACATCTACTTTGCTGTACAGAATAATAACCAGCTGTAAGAAAGGAAGCAACACTTTTGATATTCCCTTGTAGAAAGGGAAGGTTTTATGAGAGGTGGGAATAGGACATAGGCCTCATAATTCACCAGCCAGACTAGCTGAGGTAAGATGTTTTATTTAAAAGGCCAAGTCATTTACTCCTCACTCTGAAAAAGGAAAGCTGCGCATTCTAGGTGAGCAATAATTAAATCCTTTTCTTTCTGGGATGGTGGCTTCTTGGGAAAGCACGCAGGATCACCCTTGAGGAGAAAAGACAACCCAGAAAGAATCGTGCCTTGCAGAATATACCATCTAAGGAGTCTTTCTGCTGTGCCTTTTGCAAACGGACATGCCTATCTCGTATTGGCCTTTTTAGCCACCAACGTGCCTGCAACAAAGAGCCCTTCCCAAATCTTTGTTGGCGAAGCCCAGCCATGAGCTGAGATGAGGTTGCTTCTTGGGGAATAGCTCCTATGAAGAAAATGGACCCTGTACCACTATTACTGCCCAGCTCAGCCTCATTTTGCCCCGTGCCAGACTGCTTTGGCAATAAACAAGGACAGATCTTGGCTTGCCTCAACTTCTGTGGGAGCTCAGGGTTGGTATAGGATGCTCTCAACACCTCATTCTCAGATCCTATTGCATTTTTACTGCCATCCTTCAGTCTCCATGGTAACCCTCACTGCAGCACACCCTCCTATGCATTGCATATGTGCAGCATCACAGCTTTTTATTTAGTCTTTTTGGGTTTTCTTTTCTGTGGTGAATTTTTGTTGTGTTTTTCTACGTAAATAGTTACTTTAACAGAGACAATGAGACCGCTGTGTTGCCAGATGAACTCTTGGGTAGTCCTTTCTGGGTCTAAATCATGCACTAATAATCAAGCATCTTTTTCCCGCACTGTTTCCCGAGGTTAGGTTACAAATGCACGTTGGTAGTGCTGATGGCACAGCACTGGTGTTTGCACTGCTAAATCTACATAAAAACCAAGGACAATTAGGATGTATGCAGTCATGCACGATCGTTTTTGGAGCCACTGTACAATATTTATGCTCCTTTATGCTTCATCTGTTCTGAATTCCACGTCTCATTCAGCTGGAGCCCCGTTGAAAGCCTTGTGCAGAGGGTAAGGCTGTTATTGTGCAGTTTATTCAGGACAGCATGAATTTTGCAATATTGCTACTGACTTCAAATCTTCATGAACGATATCTACATGAGTGCAGTTCTCCAGTACCCATCATGCACTGTCGAGGATTAAAAGAATATCACAGGGCAGCCTGAAGCAACCAACATCTGCTCTTGGACATCTCATATTAGCAGTGACATTCCCCACAGGAAATCACTTCTGTTCTGCTGGTGGGATTTGTTCTCTCTGGTTCCTAAAAAGTGCTTTTGCAAGAGCACAGAGGGAAAAGAACCAGGAAAAGAAAAATAACAAGTAGAAGGAAAATAAGAAAAATAATTATAATAAAAAAGTAAAAAGGAATTAAAAAGGAAAAACAAAATAATAATAATAATAAAAACCCCATAAAAAATAAATTAAAAAAAAAGCAGGGCAGGGTAGGGCAGGGTAGGGCAGGGCAGGGCAGGGCGGGGCGGGGCAGTGCAGGGCAGGGCAGGGCAGGGTAGGGCAGGGAAGGTTTGGGAAGGGAAGGTTTGGGAAGGTTTGGGAAGGTTTGGGAAGG